GTTCTCTTTTAGTACTTGAAATATCTCATTCCAGGCTCTCCTTGCCCCAAGGGTTTGTGTTGAAAAGTCTGCTGTGATTCTGATGGGCTTTCCTTTGTATGTGATTTGTTTCTTTTCTCTTACTGCTTGTAGTATTTTGTTCTTCTGTTGGGTTTCTGGGATCTTGATTATTATATGTCTAGGTGTAGATTTTTTTTGATTGTGGCTAGTTGGGGTCCTATATGCCTCAGTTATCTGAATGTCAAATTCTTCCCCTCTGTTTGGGAAGTTTTCTGTCATTAATTCTGTGAACAGCTTTTTAAAGTCATTTGTATTTTCTCCTGCTACTTCATGTATTCCTATCAGTTTTATGTTTTTCTTCTTTGCATCATCCAGGAGTTGTTGGATAGATTTCTCATGATCTCTTACTGTTTTTAAGAGACCTCTCTTTTCATGGTCACTGACTGCAATCTTATCTTCTAATCTGAGAGCCTATCTTCGCATTCTTTTATTCTGTTGCATACACTTTCAATGGAGTGTTTAATCTCCTGGATATCTGTTTGAATCTGTTTTATGGATTCCATTTCTTTCCTATGTTGGGTGTTTATTTTTTCCATTTCTTTCTTATGCTGGGCCTTCATGGCTTCTATCATGGTCCTGAGCTCATCTATTTTTTTGTCAGTTTCTGCTCTAGAGTCTCAAATCACGACTTCCATTTTGCTACTATCTATATGGTTATCTGGGAAATTATTTCTGTTTTGAATTTTTCTAGAGCCTGATTGATCGGTTTTGTTACTTCCTGTCCTTTGAGTTCAGGGTGTCCTGGTGGTTCACTATCGGCCTTTTCATCCTCATTTGCCCTACTATTTGCCATTGGTGAACTGGAAGTCTGTCCTTGTGTCTTGCTTAAGTGTTTTCTCATTTTAATTTTTGTTGTCGGACTGTGCTTGGTTTAATCTCTGGATTATCACCCAAATCTTCCTGATATAGTTGTCCCCTAGCTTATGTGTCTTTAATGACCCACAGACATTCTCATCTTCATAACATCAGAGAAAACAGCTCATCAAATCACCGGCAATGCTTTACCCCAACTGATACAATCAGCAACACATTAAGATCAAGCACAACTTGGACACTGACCACCTGTGGTAGTCACTAGTCTATCACCCTTAAATCATTTGAATTAAATCGAAATCAAGAAGCAGTCCAGAACATGTCTGCAGTGAACAAACTTTTCA